CACCCTCTGCAACTCCCTGACAGGAGGTTGGAGTCAGGTGGGGGTTGGTCTCTTCTCCCAGGCAACCAGCAGCAGGACAAGAGGGCACAGACTCAAGCTCTGCCAGGGGAGGGTTAGGTTGGATCTGAGGAAGAGACTTTTTAGGGAGAGAGTGCTCAGGCATTGGAATGTGCTGCCCAGGGAGGTGGTGGATTCACCATCCCTGGAGGTTTTCAAGCTGAGACTGGATGTGGCACTTAGTGCCATGGTCTAGTGACCACGGTAGGGTTGGACTTGATGATCTTGGAGATCTTTTCCAACCCAGTTGATTCTGGGATTCTATGACTCTATGACATCCATGCCTCCTGCCTGTACAGGCTGACAAATACTGATGTATTTATATTATATGACAGGCATGATTAAATCAGGAAGTTTGGCCCTTCCTTTTGACATTGTACCCACAAGTAGATTCCACAAAAGACAAAAATTACAGGAATATCCTTCTTAACACCAACAGTTTCTGGTCAGGAGCCTCTGTGCACGATCAAGGCAGGCACCTGCCAAAATTCAGCCTCCCTGGAGCATTTCGTTTGGGATCCTGTTCTGCTACCTCCTTCTTTTCCCTTAGATGATGCAATATTGTCTCAGCTGCCATGGGATGCCATAAACAGGTTTCACACCTGAGGGTTGGGCACATTCGATGTGACCTTCAGCTTATTTCTGCCTCCACTCTGCTCCAGTTCCTAAGGAATTTCATGCTGGCATTGGTAAGGCAAAAAAGGAGGTTCTGCCTTTTTTTTTACTTACAGAATGTCTCTGATTTTACTGAATAATTGACATGAAAAAGTGATTACAACAACCAGGACAGAGGACACTTACCTTTGGCACCTGGATATTCTCTGGGCAGGGTAATCCTGTTTGTTGTTCTGCAACACCTTTACCACAGCATTGGAGCTAAAGGAGAGAGAGAGACACAGAATCAGAGGGGGAAACCACAGCCTTGTTTCAGTTACTACTTTCATATTTAAAATGAGACAATAAAAAACTAAAAGCAAGAAAGTACAGCTCAAGGAATAACTTTATTCCCTGTATTATTTGGGAGAGTTCCAACTGTGAAGGAAAAAGTTCTCAAAAATGACTTTCAGTTGGCTGAAGCCACAGCAAAAAAAAAGGCAAATTTGTATTAGCAATTATGTCCACAAGGGATTTTTATTACTGTATCTCATAACAAAAGCAAACAAGTGGATTTGGGAAAAGCAGATCCCTGGCTTAGAAGTAAACAGGAGCTGATAAAGGGAGAAGGCAGAAAGTTCAGCTATCACATACAGAATTTTGGGCAATGCACAAAAGCTGCAGCAGAGAATGCTGGAATTTTATTTCTGACACAGCATAGTGCAGGGTTTGGGGAGTGTAATAAATCAGAGTGTTTCAGAGGGTTTGTTTTTCCTGTTTGCCTATCTCCCACAAAATGCTTGGAATTCCTCTTTGGGTCAGAAATAACAGCTATGGGAGAAGGACAAAAGGGTCTGAGGTTGTGAAATGTTTGTTCTGAAGAACGTGGGAATTGCTGTAAGGAGCAACAAAGCTTGGGCTTGATCTCCGTGGGAGGTAGTGTAGATACAGGATGGACACAAATAGGAGTCAGGAAGTCACAGGTTCTAACTGATTGAGACACATTTTGGGTGGCCTGAACTGTGTCACTCATTTGCTTTGGGTTCTTTACCTACTTGGGTGACAGGATTTGCCATTCTGTAGGTCTTGGGACATGGCTCACCTTTGTCTCTGACCAATGCAGAGAGTTCAGACCTTTCTGTCTGCATGTGTGAGTATTTCTTCTTGGATTTTAATAGCCAAAAACACTCCAAAAAGACTAGAAGGATCAAGAATTTCAAAGCACTTTGAATGGTAGGGAACCAAATCCAGAATTCTGAGCTCTCAGGAACCTCTCAGGCTTTTGAGCCTCTGGCTCCACCTGAAATAACACCCAGTTCTATTCTTCCATACATCAGTGGGAGGAATTCTGGACTCTAACAGGTAAGGTGAGGTGGTAAAGCTGAGGAATACTCACAGCCACGTGGTAGTGATAGATAGTACTGTTGAACTTCCCTGCTGGGTTTTTCATATAATCATCATAAGCATCTTCATAGATTTTCTGGGCTTCTTGTATTGCCTGCAGAAATCAGACTTTGCAAGTGAGTGGCAAATCAGTTTTACCCCCAATCCAGTACAGATTTTCAAGTTGTGGCATCAACCTCCAGAGCAGAAAATTCTGTCTGGTAAACAGGTACAATGATTGGGAAGACAGGAGGTTTTGTGGCCTGGAGGGATTCAGAGAGGCTCTCCCTGGGTCACAACATGCACAGGCTGACTTCTGTGTTCTGGTTCAACATTGTTAGTTGGAGAAGTTCAGTGCCTGAATTTATTTGCCCTTTTCCTAAGCAATACCCTCTTTTCATCCAGTTCCACTTGATGCTCTTTGTGGGTGGAAGGCTGAACCACAACTATAGATTTTCTTTAATAGAGGGGGCAAAACCTGCATCCCATTCTGGATGTGTGAGAACACAAGCTCACACTGACTCCAGATACAAATATTAAAGACTCCTCCTGGGAAAAGTCTCCTGGGAAGTTTTCCTGTGCAAGAACCAACCTGTAAATTAGTTAGCACTGGAGTCCACAACTGCCCCATTATTGCATTAGAGGCTGTTTGCTACTTACCACTTTCTTGCCTATAAAGGCAAATACTCCAGCAGTGACCTCAGCTGCAAATATCACCAACAAGCAAGCAAAAAACTGTGGAGGAAGGAGAAAACCTTACATGAATATAACTTGGACCTATGGCTTAGTCTGTCCCTTGTCCTTGCCCAGGCCTCAACACCCCACACTGAACCACAGCAGGGTCTGCACAGGGGTGTCAGTCAGACTTTTTGTCATGTGCAAACCAAGGGGAAAGGGCCAGGATGTGGCTCAGGTGGAGCTTCAGGAAAATCAGGAGGCAATTCCAGGGAATATAGCCCATGAGACAAGCAATGGAGCTTTATGTTTGGCAGCTCTACAATAGCACAGTGGCTAGACAAGTTGGATTAGCCCCCAAAAGGACACAAAACATTCCAGGTCTTGGGCAGTAAAGATATTTCCACTAATGACAACAAGCACTGAATGCCTGGAATGATTTCCCTGCACACCCAAACCCTTGAAACCCTTTACTTACTGCTCCAAGTAAGCACTGGGACTCTCGTGCTGCTCCACAGCACCCAAAAAATCCAACTGCAGACATGATAGCTCCTGCTCCCACCAACACATAGAGGCCTGGAAAAATCAGAGGTAGGCAAGAATTTGAGAAGGTTTCTCCCCCCAAAACCTGGTACCTATTTCATCAAAGACACACATTTGCAGGTAACAGGGTGGTCTCTAGTTCTCACAGAGAACTTGTTCCACAGGAAAGTTTCTCTTGCCACAGAAGGAGAACAATGATTTCCTCAGAATTCTTGGAGAATTAAAAGAGACAACTTCCACCTTCTGAATTTCCTGTCCCAGGGAGACAGCTCAGTGCAGGGAGAACACACACTATACCACCGAGAACCCCCTTACAACTCTGCAGTGAGGAGCATAAGACAAAAAAAAATAATCCTGCATTGCTAGAAGGTTTATTTCTGGGAAACCTGGGGCTGGAAATGTGCTGCACTGCTGTGCAGGGCTGGAACTTTACAAAACATGGGGGATGTCAACATTGCCCCACACATAGTTAAGATCTAGAGCCTCAGCTACGTTCAGAACTTGACAGCACAAAAACTGAAGAGGTGAGGGGAAAGGTTTTCATCTTTGCCACCTGTAAAACTGCTAGAAATACTCACATTCAGTCATTTTTGGAGGGTTTGTATTGTCTGGGCTTTGTCTGGGATGAAAGGAAAGCAGAGCAGTTTTTCTTGAGCTGCAGTGTGAGCTCAGCCCAGAAACCAATGGAATCCTGAGCTGCATCCACAGGAGTGTGGGCAGCAGGGCTAAGAGGTGATTCTTCCCCTCTGCTCTGCTCTGTGAGACCCACCTGGAATACTGCACACAGTTCTGGTGTCCTCAACATGAGAAGGACATGGAACTGTTGGAGCAAGTCCAGAGGAGGCCACCAAGTTGCTAAGAGCACTGGAGCATCTCCCCTGTGAGCACAGGCTGAGGGAGTTGGGGCTGTTCAGCCTGGAGAAGAGAAGGTTGTGTGGAGACCTCAGAGCAACTTTTCACTCTCTGAAGGGCCTACAAGGAGCTGGAGAGGGACTCTGTGTTAGGAACTGCAGGGACAGGACAAGGGGAAATGGGTTCAGACTGAAGAAGAAAAGTCTAGGTTGGATGTGAGAAAAAAGTTTTTCCCTGTGAGGGTGGTGAGACACTGGCACAGGTTGCCCAGGGACATGGTGGCTGCTGCAAAGGGGTGGGACTAGATGATCTGCCAGGGCCATTCCAACCCCTAAATTCTAGGATTCTATGATTCTTTCCTCACTTGTGAACACAAGTGCTTGACCTGTGTCAGTCAGCTCCCACCAGACCACAGCCACTGGGTTTGTGCCTTGTCCCTGGTACCTTGTCACTGTAATTCTAGTCCTTGCCCTGTGCAGGAACATGCAGAAATCCTGTTCCTAGGGAGAACAGCTTCTTTTTCCTCTCCCTGCTGTCCTCCCCTGTGAGGAGCTGCAGGCTGTGCACTAGAGGGCACAGCGAGCTTTGCTCCCAGCATGGGCTGCACAAACCTCAACGAGAACATTTAGCATGCTCCATGACCAATTTAAATATTATTTTCCAACTTGACCCAGGGGGAGCAGAGCTGCTGACATCTACTGTTAGCAGGCTGTGTCTGCACTAGGAATCCTACAACTGTTTGCAATGATTGCTAGGAAAATGTAAAACCAAGCGATATCTGGGTGAAGAGCATCCAGCTGCTCTGCCTCACAGATCCTTGGAGAAGGCAAACTCCTGCCCATTCACTGCCACATCACTGTCCACTCTCTCTACATCAGCCAGGTGTCTGTCCCAGTTACTGTCATCCCTCCACAACTCCCTGACAGGAGGTTGGAGTCAGGTGGGGGTTGGTCTCTTCTCCCAGGCAACCAGCAGCAGGACAAGAGGGCACAGACTCAAGCTCTGCCAGGGGAGGGTTAGGTTGAATATTAGGAAGAGATTTTTTAGGGAGAGAGTGCTCAGACACTGGAATGTGCTGCCCAGGGAGGTGGTGGATTCACCATCCCTGGAGGTTTTCAAGCTGAGACTGGATGTGGCACTTAGTGCCATGGGCTAGTGACCACAGTAGGGTTGGACT